AAAAACATAATTCAATCAGAAAGAAGACGAAAAACAAAACAAACATAGAAACACATTACAAACATCAATCAAGAGAGGTGGAGAACAGAAAAGGAAAGAGAGGCCTGACTGTTGCAACTCGCGTCAGCAAGGTGTAATGCATGTGCAAACATACAATATATATAAAGGTTTGTAAATACATTTAGATATCTATCAATACATATATATGTATATACATGAAAGCATTTATGTATGCGTTTATATATGTAAGTATATTATATATATATAATATATATATATATATATATATATATATATATATATGTGTGTGTGTGTGTGTGTGTGTGTGGTGTGTGTGTGTGTGTGTGTGTGTGTGTGTGTGTGTGTGTATTATATATATCAAATATATATATGTATCATATATATATATGTATCATATATATATATATCATATATATATATATATATATATATATATATATATATATATATTATATATGATATATATATATATATATATATATATATATATATATAATATGTATGCATCATATATATATATATATATATATATATATATATATATATATATATATATATATAAAACGAAATAAAAGAATTTGGTTTGTCATTACTTTATTTACACATTTACAAACACGTGCAAGCCTATATTTAATTACAGGATATTCATATAAAAATTCATTTTATTCTTAACACAACTCTTTCACAATAAAAAGTTTCAAAAGTGATATTGAAACATTGCTGTAAACACCAACTTCAATTACAAAAAAAAAGTATAGATTCTAATCACATTAATAATGACAAGTGTATTTTCGTAATGTCTTCAAAAATACAAAGATTCTAAAGTAGTTGTTTTTGATTTTTATAGAAATAAAAAGTAAAAAGCTCAAGATAATGATATGTAAATATTATCATCAACAATGACGAATAAAACTCATAATGAAAATAAAAATGATGATAATAATGATAATATAAAACGATAGCAATAATAAAAAAAATGATATAATAGCAATGACAATAATAAAATAAGTATAAAATAAAACAAATAATAATTAATCAATGTGGAAAACTTTTGAAATAATTTAGAAGTTAATTTAAACGTTTACTGACGATTCTTCTATTGCTTATACGAATAGCGAGAGAGCAAGAGAAAGAGAGGGATAGAGGCAGAGAGAGAGAGAGAGAGAGAGAGAGAGAGAGAGAGAGAGAGAGAGAGAGAGAGAGAGAGAGAGAGAGAGAGAGAGAGAGAGAGAGAGAGAGCGAGAGAGAGAAATAGAGTAAGAGAGAGATAGAGAGAGAAAATAGACAGAGAGTAGAGAAGAGAGAGAAAGAAAGGATACCAAATCACCTCTTCGTTTATTACAGACCGCCATTTGTACTTTCGAAATTCCCGCCAAAAATACACACTTCGTGACCTCGGCCATCTAAAATAGAAATGTGTACAAAACGCTGATAGCATTTGAATTTGATTTCTTAATCTAAAAATAAACAAAAAATATATATTTGACGGGAAAATACGACTAACCAAAAGCAATTACTCCCTGAAAAAAGCAAAAAGTAAAAGTGAAAAGTATAATAATCACGCTAAACCAAACCAAAATTACGTATATAAATAACAAAAAATCGAATACTCCTAGGATTCATTAAGACCAAATAAACAAAATATATAAATAAATAACTGATACGCCATGACAAGGAGGAAAAGTAAATAAAAATAAATAACGGCCACTACGCTCTGTTCGGGACGATTTCGCGGGAAAATTATAATACGTAAATCATAATTGCATTTGCATTACAAACATTACGGTTCGTGTAAAATGACGTGTTGCTTGTTTCATTGCGAATTGTGACATTTCTTATTTTTTATCTTCTTCCCTTCCTTTTTAATGTCTTATGCCACTTTTTTTCTTTCTTCGTGTGCAAAGGCGAAGTATAAAACTCAACGACTGTCTTGATATGAATTAAATTTATTTGCATTAACGGAATTTATACAATCGTCTGCTGAAACTATATAAAAAAATACGCAATGTAATCCAAATTACAATGGAATGCAAACAAATCAAAGGGAAATATAATAAAAAAAATAAAAAACAATAATACATAAAAAAACAATAATAATAAAAAAAAACAATAAATAAATAACCACAGAACTGCCTATACAACTTGACATGTGTCCGCTGTATCAACATTTGAAAGAGAATCACCCTATAAAGTAACAAGGAGTAATAATGGAGTACAATTACATAAACCTCCTTTTGGTGACCAGGACCCTAGGCTTTTCGCATCCAAATATTAGATGCAACTGATCAATCTGCAACTGAGGATGAAGCTCTTTGGTTGTTGGATCACCCGGGAGTTCGTGCACGGAGCGGCCTTCCACGCACGTCGAACTCCTGCAACTGTACAGCAGGAACGTAGATCCAGGTGTACAAAGTGGGATCTGCCTCTTGCGAAGCAGATCCAACTCTAGAAAAGTGGATCTGACTCTTGCGAAGTAGATCCAGTTCTAGAAAAGTGGATCTGACTTGCAAAGTAGATCCAGTTCTAGAAAAGTGGATCTGACTTGCAAAGTAGATCCAGTTCTAGAAAAGTGGATTTGCCTCTTGCTACGTAGATCCAACTCTAGAAAAGTGGATCTGACTCTTGCAAAGTAGTTCCAACTCTAGAAAAGAGGATTTGAACCTTGCAAAGTAGCTCCAACTCTAGAAAAGTGGATCTGCCTCTTGCAAAGTAGTTCCAACTCTAGAAAAGAGGATTTGAACCTTGCAAAGTAGCTCCAACTCTAGAAAAGTGGATCTGCCTCTTGCAAAGTAGTTCCAACTCTAGAAAAGAGGATTTGAACCTTGCAAAGTAGCCCCAACTCTAGAAAAGTGGATCTGCCTCTTGCAAAGTAGTTCCAACTCTAGAAAGAGGATTTGAACTTGCAAAGTAGCTCCAACTCTAGAAAAGTGGATCTGCCTCTTGCAAAGTATCCAATTGCACAAAAGAGGATCTGACTCCAGTACAGTGGATCCAACTCCATCAAAGAGGTTCCAATCCTAATAGAGGGAGTCTAGTCCAACATAGATCTACCCGTACTTCCGGAGATCATGTTCAGTTGCTCCCCTTTCACCCTGAGGTAGATCTTCTTGAGCAGCTCCTGCGAGATGTCCGAGTGGCCTTCGTAGGCGAGAGCATCCCGGATGAAGGTCAGGGTGGCCTCGACGTCCTTCCTGAGACAAGCACGGGCAATGCTCTTAACGTCAGTGGAATCATAGAGAGACCTCTCCTTCTCTTGCTCCAGAAGCTTATTGAGCCTCTCCAGAGCTTCCTGCATGATCACCTTCTGAATGATGCTCAGCGTGCCATCGTTCGACAGCCGGTACATCCTCTTGCTGATGACTTTCATGAGCGTGATGTTCTCGCTCTCGGAGAAGATCTTCATGGCGCCCTGGCCACACTGCTGCAGATCAGAGGCTTTCTCATACAGGACTCTGATTGGGTACCTGAGTTCGCCCATCTTCTCCCCGTTCCGGTCCAGGATCTTCAACACGTCCAAGACTTCTTCTGACGTGACGTGACTTGAAGTCCCCAAAGCCTGGGATGTCGTTGGGGAGTTGAAAAATTCCATGAAACTCTGCTGATTGAGGGTCTCAAACGCTCTCAGTGATGGAGCTTTTGAGGTTCCAATGTTACCTTTCAGAGAAGTTTTCTGCTCACTGCTTGGATAGTCTCTGCCCCTCACTTTATAGTTCATTTCTTCCCGCCGGTGGAGTCTTTCTGATGAGCCTGAACTTTCCCGCTCTAGTGGACTGTGTAAGAAATGACTGCTACTACTACCTTCAGACAACAGAGATGATGTTCCCAGTGTCTGAGAGACAGCTGGCGAATTAAGTCTTGGATAGCGGACTGGAGCCTCAGAGGTCCTACGAGTTGGAGGCTCCAATGCACTGGTTCTGTGAGGTTCTTTTCTGTCAGGATTTAAAAGGTTCATCACTGTGGTCTCGTAATCAGTAGTAGTTTCTGGCATCGTTAGCTGGAACATGTCTATGGAGTTACTGCTTTCCTTCCCAAGAGAGAGACTATCTTTCCTTCTTCTTTCACCAGAGTGACTATCTTTCCTTCTTCTTTCACCAGAGTGTAATAAATCTGACTCCCTCTCTTTCAAAGATCTGTCAAATGACTCCTGGCTTCTGGCAGAAGGGGCGCTGGTGCTAACGAAAGCTGAAGTACTCTGAGCCTTTGGGCTTGTTCCTTGGAAGATCTTGGCCAAGAAATCCGTCACTTCTGTTGGTTGATTATTAAATATTTCTTGGAGTTTCTTGCTATCGAACTTAGTATCGTCTAAACCTGGCTTTACCTTAGTACGGTTATAAAGATCTAAGTCTGCGCTATTTTCCTTTCTAGTTGGTTCCTCTAATGGACGTTCACGACTGCTGCCGCTTGCTTCATGGACTCTGTGCATCCTAGCTGCAGTTTCCATACCATCACCTCTTCTTACCACGTCTGGTAAGGAGTGATGGCCGTCTTCAGCAAGACTAGAATGTCGAGGGAAGCCTTCAGCAACATAGTCCATATTTCCTTTGCTGCCACAATCACCCAAGGATGCTACGGTGTCGGAATTCCTTCCGCTATTGGACTTACCCGTTTCCAGAGATCCCTTCCTCTTGATTGACTTCTTATCCTCCCGTGATTCTCTGTCTGCCTTTACTCTCCTCTTCTTGGACACTCGTTTCTTCTTGGCCTTTCCCCTCTTCCGCTTGCGCTTACTCGATTCCTCAAACTCAGATCCCAAATCATCTGAGGAATCACACGAGGACGAGGACGAAGACGACGAAGAAGACGACGAAGACGACGACGAGGACGAAGACGAGGACAAAGCGGGGCGAAGGAGTGCCAAACACTCCATCTTCTTCTTCTTCCAGCTCTCGCAGAAGATCTCCTCCATGCGCCCCGGCCAGAAGCTTCCCCAGTCTTCCGTCAGGTCGTAGGTGCAAGGGTCGCCGCCGAGGAGGATCACTTGATGGGCTTTCCGTTCGTAGAAAGCCCTATACTCCTTTCCATAGTCCGGGTGCGCCTGGGGCTGCTGCCTGTACATATCGCACTCGCGCGTGTGGATCTGGTAGAGTGACTTGACTGCATCTCTAGCCATTGGATCCTTCTCCTCCGGACTCAAGGAGCGTTGGGGGGATGAGGCCTTTGGCTTCTTCCGGAGCTGAAACAGATTCATTGCATCGCGCCATTAGCTGATCTAGATCGGATATTTCCTGACAGGAGGAGTGATAGGAAGGATGAAAGGAAGAAAGGAAAGAAGAAGAAGAGAGGGAGAGAAGGAGAGAAGGAGAGAAGGAGAGAGGGAGAGAGGGAGAGAGGGAGAGAGAGAGAGAGAAGAGAGAGAAGAGGAGAGAGAAGAGAGAGAGAGAGAGAGAGAGAGGAGAGAGAGGAGAGAGGGAGGAGGAGAGAGGGAGGAGAAGAGGGAGAGGAGGGAGGGGAGGGGAGGGAGGGAGAGAGGGAGAGAGGGAGAGGGAGGGGAGGAGGAGGAGAGGGAGAGAGGGAAGGGGAGGGGAGGGAGGAAGGGAGGGGAGGGGGAGGGGAGGGAGGGGAGGGGAGGGGAGGGAGGGGGAGGGAGGGAGAGGAGAGAGCGAGAGAGAGAAGAGAGAGAAGAGAGAGAGGAGAGAGAAGAGAGAGAGAGAGAGAGAGAGAGAGAGAGAGAGAGAGAGAGAAGAGAGAGAGAGAGAAGAGAGAGAGAGAGAGAGAGAGAGGAAGAGAGAGAGAGAAGAGAGAGAGAGAAGAGAGAGAAGAGAGAGAGAGAGAGAGAGAGAGAGAGAGAAGAGAGAGAGAGAGAGAGAGAGAGAGAGAGAGAGAGAGAGAGAGAGAGAGAGAGAGAGGGAGAGAGAGGGAGAGAGAGGGAGAGAGGGTAGGAGAGCGGGTAGGAGAGAGGGAGAGAGGGTAGGAGAGAGGGAGAGAGGGAGAGAGCGAGTAGAGGACAGAGAGCGAGGTAGGACAGATGGGAGGAGGAAAGGAAGGAGAGAGAGGGAAGGAGAACAGATGGGAGGCAGGAAAGGAAGGAGATAGAGGGAAAGAGAGAAAGAAAGACAGAGAAACTTAATGAGATGGAATAACAACCATGTAAATATAGGAATGCCTGTTGAGAAAGAATGAATGAATGTGTGTGTTTGTGAATGGATGATTGAGTGATGACATAAGACTTACCTTTTAGAGGTGAAAGGGCTTCTTGAGCTCCTGGAGTTCTGTCGCTCATCAGCTGGATAATGACTTGATTTGGAAGACCTGTTCGCTGGATAGTTCCTTGCCTCTGGACTAAAACCCTCTCTGCTCCTGTGATTCCAATGGGACTTGTGTGTCCTGGTGTCTCTCTGGTCTGCGACTGGGCTCCTACGCCTCCGGTGTGGACTGTGGCTTCTCTCCTCGCTCCTCTGGGCCCACTGCTCCGGGGGGGTGGTGCTCCTTCTCCGTCCACCCCTGCTTCGATCCCTGTTTAAAGGAAACTGGCTGAAACTGGGTCTCCAACCATCCCTTCTTGGAGAAGCTGGACGACGACTGAAACTGCTACTTATCTCAGGGCTACGCCTATCCCTCTCTCCAAATCTTGTGTGGGCATAACTGTGTGTGTGTCCTGAGCGTGGTCTGTAACGACTAGGGTCACCGATGGGGCTAGGACTCCTATCCCTGCTACCTCTTGACCTGTAAGAGTCCTTCATCTCCAAAATGCCCATCACTGACCGCCTGAACTGTCGTGCAGCAGCTCTCACCCCAACATGCTCATGAAAAGGGCTCATGCTCTTGTCCTCAGTGAATGGCCTCCTGCCGCTGCTGTTGTTACTTCTGAACCTGAAAGACCTATCCTCATCCTCTCGTCTGGTTTCTCTTTTGCTCTCTGGGCTGACTTGTCTGTGGAACCCAGATCTCTTGTCTCCTTTCTGAAACAGTGGAGACTGAGAACGAGTGGGAGGCACCCCAGCTTTTTTTGCTTTTTGGCTGTCAATGTTTTGGATACTCAAGACAGTGGAATATGCCAAACAAGCTTCCATTATCCGTAAAACCGAGTTCCTGGTTAGGTGAACTCCATCATAGAGAATTGACTTTGGAATGCGCTTGGGAGGCTTTGAGACTTCGTCCTCTGAGCTGCCACAGACTATGTTACAGAAGTCCCACAGTGGCAGCTTCTTAGCTTGAGATTCTACACGTATTGCTTTGTTTACCTCATTAATAACGTCTCTGAGCTTACTTAGTTCTTCTGAAGAACCAGAGATACTTTCCTGTGACTTGCCCTCTTTGCTAGGTTCTGAGTTTTCTTCCAAATATGATAACAAATCTACATGGCATATAGTAGCAAAGACAACATCACAGCCTTCATAATGTTTCTTCAATTGATCTTTAAAATTTCTCATGTTATCCAGCATTTCTTTGCTTACTTCTTCTGTTGACCTTCCCTTGAATAGAAACTCTACCTTCGCTTCAGGATTTCCCGTGAGCTTAACTAGATCGTATAGCCCAAAGCTTATCACAATCAACGACTGTTTGAACACTGGGAGCTCTGGCAAAGATTCAGGACAAGAGAGCTTGATACTTCCTTCCTCTTTGGCCATCACTTTGAAATTCAAGTACGTAAAGTCACTGGTCCACTTCTCCAAGTCATTTATCCTCCAGTCCTGTAACAGCACAATCTTGTGATATCGTGCCTGGGAGTGTTTCAAAATGATGTCCCTTAGGTGTGGAACCATCAATGCTTTTACGGCTTCCACTGACGGGTTCAAGCCATCTCCAAGGTGCTTCTCGATCGTGGTAGGGTTGGGAAATATTTGGGACTTGAGGAGGTTCCATTCGATCTTTTGCTTTGTGTAATCTACGTTGACTCCATTCAAGATGAGTCGATTGAAAGAGAACAGGAACTGGCAGATATCCATGCTTTGCACCTCACTGTTGGCCATGTACTCACTGTCCAATTCATGCTGGCCATTCGACTTGTGTGCTTTCACCTGCACCTCCCGGAATGACCCCAGGCTGACAGGTAGGATGGATGTGAACGTGACGCGGACATTTCCCGACGATGACTCAAGTGCTTTCTTCACCAACTTCATCTGCTTGAGCAAATTGTTATGGGCTTTACAGACTTCATCAACCTCATATAGTTTTATCTTCATCGTTATGTTCTTGACAGCCTCGTGCCCTCCGGCCTCCTTGCAAGGCTTGTAATCCTCAAAATCAATGATCTCGTAGATGCCTAAGCTGCACAGGATCAATGTCTCCTGCTGGGGTGCCAGGCTGATGAGGTCCTCAATGAGTTTCTGGAGCTCATTTAAACACAGGAACGGACGACTTACAATGTCCACCTTCATGTGCTTATCCTCCAAAACCCAGAGTTTGTCCAAAAGCTCAATCCGTGAATCTCCGACGATGATCACTCGGCTGAATCTCCTGCTGGATGCCATGGCCTCCTGTGGGAAATAAGTAGATGAATAAATAAATAAACACAAAAAAATCATAAATCTTTTTTTTTTTTACACAAATAATTACTTTACCATCAATGCGAGAATGAAATGTATTTGTGGTAAACCCTTTCTCATAAATGCATTTGAAGTGTGAATAAATATAGTTGCAGTGATATATACTTATACCTAATGTGGTTGTATATATCATATACACTTTTCAAGTAATTTCATTAACCAAACAGACGTAATTTCACAAGGATTTTCTAGTACTTGTGCAAACCTTTACTCTACTTACAGAAAAAATATAAACAAAATTGTAAATCATAATATTCAAACATGAGAAGTACCAGTAACAGCATTTAAACAAGAAATCTTACAAACCTTTGACGTTTCCAAAAACTTTTGAAATTCCTCGTCCTCAATGCCTCTCTCCGCTATGTTCTCCTTCCTCGGCCTCTTCCTACTTTTGGGGTCTTCCACTTCCTCTCGTTCCCTCTTTGACGCAGGAACTTTCTTCTCCTTGTTGCTCTTGCTGGTGTTTTTGTTGTTGATGTTTTTGCTGCTGATGTTTTTGCTGTTGATGTTTTTGCTGTTGATGTTTTTGCTGTTGATGTTTTTGCTGTTGTTATTTGCTGTTGTTGTTGTTTTTGCTGTTGATGTTTTTATGTTACTGCCCTTCGTGGGCTTATTCTTGCTTTCTTCTCTATTTGCTTGTGCCTGTTTTTTCTTGGAAGCAATGTCTTTGGAAGTCGCAGCCTCCTTCTTTGCTGTGGCTGCTTCTGTGGCTTTGCCGGAAGAGGTACTGTTGTTATTGCTTTTCGCAGCACCTTTATTCTCCTCTTTGGAGTTCTTGTGACTCATAAGCTTGGTCCAATTACCTGTTCCTTGTTTTTTGCCAACTGCTTTCCCCTTGTTTTTGAGGTTTTTGTTCCATTCCTCTCCTCCCTTCTGCTGGACACTCTGGGGTTTGCCAGATCCTTGAACTTTCCCTCTGTTGGTCACTGCCTGTGGTGTTTGCTGGGGTGCCTTGGCATCCAAACTGTCTTTTGCATTGCCACTTGATTTACACTTTGCTCTTACCACCTGACTCAATGACTCGTTTGCATTGTTCTCTGGTCTTTCTGTTTGTTCCTTAGGCTTTTGATTGCTGTCTTTTTTCTCCTGTCCATCCTTTGATTCTTTCTCATCTTTTCTGTCATGGTTCTTGTTTTGCTCTTTGCTTTGGTTTTTCTCTTGTGCACATTCCCCTGCTCCCTTCGCCTCTACCCTTTCCAAGGTAGACTCCCCCACAACACATTCCTGTAATGCATCTTTCTCCTCACTCTTATTATTGCTTGTTGGTTGAAATAATGTTGCTGTGCCTTTTGTCTGGCAAGAGAGGGCCACATCCTGACTTTCCTCTGTTGCAGATTTTTCATCTGCGTCATCAGGTTTACTGTCAGGTAAGCCAGAGGTGTGCAACACTTCAGAGTCCTCTTCCTCTTTATTCGCTGACACACTCAGCTGATCTGAGATGCCATCTTGCAAGGCCGAACTTTCCTCTGCATGTGAAATTTTCCCTTTGTCTGTTTCCCCTTTTGAAATATTTGTATTTACAAAACCCCCTCCCTCGTTCCTTCACAATTTTCTAGCACTATATCACTTCTACTTGGAGTTCTTTCTTCTCTTTGTAAGCCTGTTAAAGTGGTCACCTCACTTATACCCTCTTTGCTGTCCTCTTTTTCCTTGGATCTGCACAGTGCCTCACTCTCCTTGGGGGACTCAGACCCATGTCCTTCACTAGGCGACTGGTTTTCACCACACCCAGGGATACCTTCTGTTCCAGTCATACTAACGTTCACCTCACTGCTCCTGTCCCTTTCTGTTACGGTCTCTTTCTCACATCTGGTGGGGCTTTTTCCACTGTTCCCTTCTTCTCTTTTATCTTCCCCTCCACCTGCCTCGGGGCTTTGCGACCCATTAGCTTCCCAGGACGTTGGTGGGTTGCTCTCACTCTCCTCGACCATGTCAGTCTCAATCATCTCGTCAAGAATGATGAATTCCTCTGCATCAATGTCCATTCTGATGCCTTCCCACATGCCACTTTCAGAGTCTACACACATGCCATCGTTTGTTTCCTTCTCATCATCAGTATCGGCAGCACTGAAGTTCTTGGGAGTGTCCCCATCCTTAGCCTCCTTCGCTAATATACCTCCCCCAACCCCCACTAACCCCTCCTTTGCCTCCTCCTCCTCCTCCTCATGCACATCCTTCCCCAACTCCATCTCTAAGGGCAAAGGATGAAAAGAATTTGCCGATTCCTACACCGTGACGCACACCTCCCCCACCCTCCCCCACCCTAATTCACAACCAATCAATCCCTCACGGGCTATCTCTAAACCTCATTATCCACTGAAATAAACACATACCGACCAAACCTATATAAATCACAAGGATACACTCCCCAACTACGTCTCGCAAACACTTATGCCGACATCACTGCTCTGGCCGCTCCGACTGGGCGTGCTGACTTGCCCGCAGGATTAACAAGAAGAGGTCCGTGCCGCCATCCCTTCCCTGCTCTCATTTTCCCAGGAACCACTTCTGCGTCTGTTGAATTGGGAGTGGGATTAGTGATATAATATGAATGACAATTGTATTGCTAATCAATAAATATAAGAACATGAAAAATAAAAACTGCAATAATAATAATGAAAATAACTAAAAAAGAAGTGCAATTCAATGACTGTAATATGAAAGCAATAAATAATTGAGCCATTACATAATAACATTACAGAAGCATAATAACAATAAAATAAATAATAATACCAATAATAATAATAATAATAATAATAATAATAATAATAATAATAATAATAATAATAATAATAATAATAACAATAATAATAATAAAAATAACAACAACAAAACAATAACAACAACTACAATATGAACAATTACAATAAATATACAATAGAAGTAATAATTTTTAGAATATAAATTCATATGAAATTACCTGCCTGTCAGCTTTCCAATAAATCATTACACTAAAATGGTTTTGAATTAAATTGTACACTGATGGTAAAAACATAAATAGTTACCTGTAACAATGACAATGACAATGATGTTATTCCTGATAAAAAAGATGACAATCGTAATGATGAATTTCCAAGTTCAAACCGTACGTCAAACTGTTAAAAAATTAGCCTCTCTTCTCTGTCTGCCTTCAGTAAAAACATATCACAATGTACTTACAACCTTTAAACGCAATCTTACTTGCAATCTGAATACATCAATCGGTCCGAGAAGATAAACACGAGGTAAACAAGCCTAGTTTAATCGTGCAACATATGAACGGAAAATTAAAAAAAGTGTACAAGGGGATTTTTTACAGCTGTGCGAAACTGGACATCCACAAAACTTCTCTCTCCTAGCCTCATGTGTCGACAAATGGTACCTGACGGAAATGAACTTAAAGTACCAAAAATGGTGAGATATATGTCTTTAAATGCTCTTTCCAAGGAGGCATCTACTTCTAGATTATATGCATATTGTATCATTCTTGAATATTAGTGTTGACAGCCAATATAAATATATATATATATATATATATATATATATTATATATATATATATATTATATAGATATATATATATATTATATATATATATATATATATATATATATATACACATATATATATATATATATATATATATATATATATATATATATATATATATATATATATATATATATATATATATATATATATATATATACACATATATATATATACACATATATAATATATATATATATATATATATATATATAAT